TCAACCCCCATAAAAAGGTCTTCCCTTGTATGCTTTTCTACACAAAATATACCACCACTGGAAACGCAGCAAATAACATTAGCAGCTGACTTTTATTGGGTGCTATAATGCATCTTGTGCTGTTTTTAGGGGTTTTCCTTTTTTTTGCATTAACTCAACCAATCCTCCACAAAAACCTTTTGAGCTAGGTATGACTAATGTGCCCACTTTAAAGATGGAGAAACTGAGAAACACAGAGGAAGCTGCCCAGGATCACACAACTTGACAGTGGTGGAGGCAGGATTTGAACTCAGCTGGTTTTGATTCTGGTCTATGCTCTTAACCACCCTCTTGACTCTTTCTCTAGCCACTTAGCAGGGGGAGAAACATAGCTTTCTGTTTTGATTTGTGAGTAAATTTTGGTTTTTATTTTAGTTATCTATTCCACATTCAAATAGCCTGCGTTCTCCCAAGAAGTGGGGTGGCCAGAGGTCAGTTGAATGCTATAAATTGTGTTTAGTATCCACAGACTGGAAGCTTTATAAAGGTGAGACCACGCCTGTCTTGTCCCAGCGCACCCCGAGCCCTGGGTGCCTGATATGTAGTGGGAAATAAGAAATATTGTTGAATGAATAAGTTTGTTCCTCACTGTTTTATGACCTTGAATACTCCTCTTATTTGATCTCTGATACACGTAATCCAGAAAAAATGAAAGGAAACACTCTGGTTCCAAATAATCTACTTTCTCCTTAAGTAAGTAGACAGAGAATATAAAAGTGGCATTTTTGGTTCCAACTATTCAGATGGTTGTTATAATCTGCCCTTTTGCTTTTTATATGTAAATTCAAACTTACTGTGAGCTGTATGTATTAGGGCACTTTTAGCTGCTGTAACAACTCCCTAATTCCAGGAGCTTAACACAATAGAAGTTTATTTCTCACTCAAGTACCAGTCCAACGTCAGGTCAGGAAGTGGCTTTATTCCTCCGGGTGATGCAGAGACACAGGTGTCTTTTATCTAGTGACTCCACCGTACTCTGGGGCTTGGGAGTCCTCTGCCTCCAGCTAGGCAAATTGCGGAAGGCATACCCATTTTTTAATTACTGGCCTAGAAGTAATGAACATTACTTTTGCTCATATGCCATTAGAGAGAACTAGTCACATGGCCACGCTTGGATGCAAGGGAGGCTGGGAAATAGATCTCCAGCTGCGAGCTGTCAGTCTGCTCCCTATGGAAGGAGAAGCATGAATATGTGGTGCGCAGCTAGCAATCTTCCGCCAGGGTGAAGAATAAGTAACTTCTTAGGTTGCTCTTTAATGTAAGACGTGTACCAGATAACATACTCAGGTTAGAAGTCACAAGCTTAGGTGACTTTCCAAACGCTCTTCTAGACAAATGGAAGACTGGTGTGGTGTCACTCAAAGCACGGGATGGGAGCTGGGATGTCAGGCAGCTTGGAATAGGGGTCAGAGCAAAGCCTTAGAGTCAGAAACCTGGCTCCAAATCTTGATTCAGGCAGTGCCTTCCTCATCACAAGCAACTTAACTTCTTTGAGACTCAGTGCTCTTAACAGCCAAATGGGGATCACCACGCCCACCTTGCAGTTTTGTGATGATTAGAGACAATACATATAAAGGTCCTGGCAGACAGTAGATAGTAGATCAATGATAACTGGTATTACTGTGTTTTATGAACAAAGATTTCTCAAGAAAGCAACATACCTCCTTTCTTTTAAATTGCTTTGGAAATAGAAAGTGTAATAAAGAACAAGTAATGAGCCTTATTTAAATGTAAGTTGTAGGACAGTGTGGATGTCATGCTTCCAATTGCAGATGTTACAACATCTGTCCCATATCCAGAATGAAGCCAGAAACCAGTCTAATCAAGTAGTGTGATTAAACTGCTTATAATTGCCTGAATTCTAGCAGGAGCCGTGGAAGACGACAAATAAATATAATATTAATAGCCATGATTTATTGAGTGTATATATTCTATCCCTTAATCCTCATACCAACCCCGTGCAACTTATTATTGTTACCACCGTCAATACCACCTATGTTATGCCCATCACCATTTTGTAGATGAGAGAACCGGGGCACAGAGAGGGAAAAGAATTGTCCAAGATGGTCAATTCCTGGTGGTGGAACAGGGATTTGAACCCAGGCAGTGTGACTCCAGAACTCAAGCTCTAAATCAAGGAGCGTGGGATCTTGTTGGAGGAAATGCTTTGTCTACGTGAAAACACTAGAACACAATGCATGATAACATTGTGCTAAAGTGTGGTTTGAGTTATAAATGCTATAGGAATTCAGTCTGGAGAGGAACTCCCAGCGCTTGGGCATGACTGCGTGCCAGGCATGTATTGGGTGTTTCCATCCTTCCCTTTTAAGGAGAGGCAGCACAGCCCACGTGGAGGAGGAAGAGCACCAGCTTTGGCACCGCACAGGTAGGGTTTAAATCCTGGTGCTGCTATTTACAAGCTGTGTAATCTCAGGCAAATCACTCAACCTTTCTGAAATGGTTTCCTCAATTGAAAATAGGGATTCTAACAGCCACCTTACAGAGGAGGGTTTACTGTCATGGTGGTACCAGCATATGGTGGGTGTTATTCATTCAACAAACACTGATTAAGTCCCAGGCCCATGGAAGCAACACTATCAGCCAGAATAAGCTAGGTTATGCTGCCATAACAAACAATCCACCAAATCTCACTGGTTTAACACAAACACATTTAATATTGCTCACACTACTTTTCTAATGCAGGTTAGGTGGGACTGCTCAGCCATCTTTAGAGACCCAGGCTGGCTGGGGGAGGCTTTATCTCTGTACTTCCATGGGTGTCAAGATAGGATTGCTAAGACTGTCCTCTCTGAATTGTCAAGACACGGGGATTTGTCCATTGGCTCTTAAAAGTTGCCACCTGAAAACAATGCCTATCACTTTTGCTCATTCCATTGGCCTAAGCAAGTCATACGGCCTCACCTAATTTCAAGAGGATGGGGTAGTGGATTCCCACCACATCCCTGGGGAGGGGAAGAACCAGAAAATATTTGGTGAACAGTTTTAATTACCACTAGGACACAATCTGTTTATCTGCAAACAGATCTGCTAACCCATATTCTAAGAAGGAGAAACTGAAGCTCTGAGAGGTTAAGTCATATGACCAAGGTCACACAGCCCATCCACTGGGGAGCCCAGCTCAATGTGCATAATATTCGCTCTGACTCTTTAATCTGCACGCACAATGTCTAGACTTCGTCTAAAAGCAGACTATAGTTTCAGGAGGTGGGCAGGGAGGCCCTGCAAGGGTGGAGGATGGAATAGGAATTGAATAAACACGGCCTTTGCGTTTGTATTATGCAATAACCAGTGTGCTTCTGGGGAAGGCAGGAAGGGGCAGAGGGGTTTATGTCAAGCATCAGCAGAAAAGTTGGGACAGACAAGAATACCAAGCACTGGAGTGTGGCAGAGGCACACCATGGAGGATATGATGATGGCAGCGTTTTAGGCCCTTACTCTGGCAGCAAGGAGGGGGCTCCCGGGGAGGACCGGCTTGTGCAGGAGTGCAGGGTAAGGTGATAAGGGGTAGACAGGAGTGAAGTCAGCAGGAATGCACAAAGGATGAACCCGAGAGCTGCGGAGGAAGGTCGAGCCAGCTCACGGGAGGAAACGTAAAGAAGCACCAGTGGATGTGCAGAACGCACCAGACATTCTTCATACCTCTCTTCCTATCCCAGTCTGGTCTACTGCACCGTTCATAAAAAAATTCCCTGAGGCCTCTTTTCCTCTTGCTTTTTCCCTTATTTTTACTCGCCGCTTCTTAGGAGGACGGAGGCAGCCTCGCCGCGGTGGAGGCCCTCCCTGCCTGACCCTCGGATTGCGGGGGTACCTTGGCTGTTACCATCTCCAGGATCCGGCCCTTTCACTTAAAGGAAAACTGCCAGGGCCCGAGGGGCCAAGAGGCCTGCAAGTCGCAGGCCCCGGCCCCGGCTCCATCCGAGGTCCCTGGTTTGCCCACCTCCGAAGGCAGCCTCGGCGGTCAGGGTGGGCGCCCCGTCTCCCCCACGCCCCCAACTCTCCTCTCCTCCCAGGCGGCTGCCCCGCCGGCCGGAGTCCGGGCTGGTGTTGCAGGGCCGGCGGCGGGCCCAGCGTCGGCCTCGGAGCCTCCCTTCCTCCCTGACTCCGCCTTGCTTCGGGGAGCCCGCGGGGCCGGGGTCCCGGCGCCCCTCTCGGGGTTCTCGGGGCGGGCGGCCCTTCCCCAGCCCGAGGCGGGGGCGCGCGCGGCGGGGGTGCCAGCCCTGGCTAGGCGGGCAGGGCGCGCACTGCGCCGGGAGGGGGCCGTGACTCACCGCCTGTAACCCAACACCCGCCCTGCCCCCCCAGCATTTCCCCCATCCCCGGCCTGGCGGCCGCCGCGACACCCGAAAGAAAATGAAGGGGCGCCCGGACCCGGGGCCCCCCCGGCCGGATCGCGAGCGGGCCCCGGCGGCCCCCAGCTCGGCGCGCTCTCGCTTCCCCGGGCCCGGGGCTCAGCGAGCCGCCGCCGCCCGGGCGCGAGCAGGAAGGGAAGCCGAGCGGCCGGAGCAGGCGGCGGCGACGGGCCCGCGGTAGCTGCGGCGGGCGAGCCCGGGGAGGGGGCGCCCGGGCTTGGAACCCCCCCGTCCCCATCCCGGCCGAGCGAGGACAAAGCCCCCTGGCCGCCGCGGCGGCCTACACCGCGCGGCACAAAGGGCGCGTCGCGACACGCGCCCATCCCCCTCCCAGCGCGGGGTGGCCCCGGGCCCCAGGGGCGGCGGTGAGGTGGGGAAGCCCCGGGCACGCCGCCCCTCGCGCCCCTCCCCGGGGCCCGGCGAGCGCGCCGTCCCCGCCCCCGCCCGTCTGCCGTCCTCCGGGGGAGGGGTCGGGGGGCGCGGCGCCCCACATAACACTCCCCCTCCGGCGCGCGGAGCCACCCCTCTTCCCTCCCTCCCGCGAACACCACCGCCTCCCCTGCCACCGCCGCCACCTCGCCCGCCGATCCGCAGCTCGCCGCGGCCGGTGGGCGGTGCGCGGACCGTGCGCGCCGGCGGCGCCAGATGTGCCGTCCCCGCCGCCGCCAGTGACCGAGCCGCAGCCTGAGCGGGATCGGGCCGCCTCCCCGATGCTGCGGGGGCGACCTTGAGCGCACCCCGGCTTGCCTCCACGGGGACCCCGACTCCCCGAGCGCTGCGCCCGGTCCTGCCCTCTCCAGCCCGGCTCGCCCCGCGTTTAGACATGGAGGGGGCCGCTGCACCCGCGGCTGGGGACGGCCCCGACTTGGGGCCGGGGGCGCCGGGCTCTCTCCCGGAGGCGGGGGCGGGGGCGACTGCAGCCCCCGCAGCAGCGGCGGCCCCGGAGCCCAGGAAGCCGCACGGGGTGAAGCGGCATCACCACAAGCACAACTTGAAGCACCGCTACGAGCTGCAGGAGACCCTGGGCAAAGGCACCTATGGCAAAGTCAAGAGGGCCACCGAGAGGTTTTCGGGCCGAGTGGTGAGTGGGGAGAACCCTGAGGGGCGCGGGCTGGACAGGGCTGGGGACAGAGGGCGCGCGGGGCGGGGGTCCTGGGCACGGAGGCTTTCTTGTCCGGGAAGGGGTTTCCCGGGACCCCCCAGACAGACTCCTCGCTCTCCCCCCAGCTCCCCGCGACTCAGGCGTGTCTCTCTCCCGAAACACTTGTTACATCCTGTCTGCGCATATTTTGGGGGTTTTTATCCCAGCAGCAAAGTAGTGTTTATGATTTGCAAACACTTTGCAACGTTGGGACCAGCGGATTCTCCCTCGCGGGCACGCATTCAGACCGTGCCCTGGAATGCCTTATTGCTCTAACTCCAAACAGACCCACATCCTCAGCTCAGAGCTGGTCCCCCAAGTCCAATGTCCTGTGGATGAATGCGACTCCCTCTCCCCCTGCATCCTCCCTTCTACTCCTCATCACCCCGGTGCTGCCGTCTGCTGCAAGGGAGGGCAGGCTTCTGCCTGTTTTTAAGAGTGAAGGTTAGGGAGCAAAAGCGAAGGCTGCTGCACGCCTGAGGGTTGTGACAGTTAGCGTATGGCTTCTGGGAGGACTGAAATGCCCAGGTCATAGGGAGCCGCACAGACGCTGAGTTGCAGGGACTCAGTTGCATTTCAGGTCCTGACTGCAGGGCTACTAAGTTGCTTAAGGGGTCTGGCCCAGCCGCCCCACGCTTTGTGACAGCTGAAATCCTGCCAGAGTCCCAGCACCATTTGCACATCCCCAGGGGGCGCCTTCAGTGCCTTGGGGTCTCTGCATTGTCCCAGACTTGGTTTGTTGTCATTTTCCTTTCTGCAGAACAGGCACTTGAAATCCACACTGCTTGTGGCTAGCGGGCTGGGTTCAAAGTGACTGTTCCAGAAAGATTTTGTGTGGTGTGTGGCAAAAAATTAACATGGTTCTTTGATTTGAAGCATGTTAGATGTATTTTAGTCGATTTAGAGCCAAAGTCAGGAACTAATTATAGGACTCCTTGTGTACACTTTTGGGGGTGTTTCGGGGCCCAGGGTTGCTTATAAACTTAAATGACCACAGGGAAAAAGCAAAATGAACTGTCAAATGAAGTTGTAGGTTGATGCTGATCTATTGCTTTTGCATCTGTGCAGCATCAGTTCTCTGGAAAAAATGGGGCACCAATCGGAAGGTTCAGCCCCCCAATTCTCAAATATTTGGATGCTTGGAGAACTCCCTCATTCTAAGCTTCACTGTTTGGGTTGATACAACTTTATCCCCTAGCTTAAAAAAAAAAAAGTCTTGTTATAGGTTAATTGGAAATTTGAGACGTTGTATTTTTAAGCTGTCTCCCATAAAGAAATTCTACAGCAAGCAAGTCGTTGAGAATTCACTATGCGCAGGTGCCATTTTTGTAGGTTGAAAATTTTAAGGAGGAGGTAGTTGTAAAGATGACCTTCCGAGGAACAGCCGTGCGGGTTTGTGGAGGAAGAGGTTGAGAAACGTGCACTTCATTCATGCTTTCCTTCTGAGGTGATATTCCCCAGGCTGGACGTTGAATAAGCAAAAACTAAGCTTAGCTCCTTGCTCATGTTGTCTTAATAGCTGTTGAAGAATCGCACTGGGAAGTTGGAAAGCGGAATAATGAAAAACAGACGCGCTTCGAGCTGCAGGTTGAGGATGTGAGCTCGTGAAGGGTTGAGTGGTAAGGGTGTGTCTGGGCTCTGTGAGGGGACACAGAAGCCTGAAAGTTGGGGAGCTGCTGCAAACTGGAAGAGTGAAACCTTGTCTCATGGCAGACACCTTTCTGAGCTTCAGTGGGGCTTCCTGTCAGGCATTCCTCTGGCTGCCTGATCCCCAGACTAGGTTACAGCGAAAGGGATTGCATCAGTACACCGGAGCCTGCCTTTCTCTTGTGGTGGGTGTCTCTCTCTTTTATTTGCAGAAACTCCGAACATTCCGTCGGGATTTAGCAGAAGGACCACTAGGGGGCGCCCTGAGAACGGAAGAGGCTCATTTCTCTGCCGCCAGACTTGAGTCCTGCTCTGTTATTGTCCATCTCTAGTGCGGTTTCCCATTGTGCTATTAATTTCAGCTAAATCTCTTGTTTTACTCAAAAATTATGTAAAGATTTTGAATCCGGTGGCAGATCCAGGCCCGGAAGCTGGCAATCCCCAAACTGCTTTCTATTCGATAGATAAGTTTTGAACGTTAGCAGAGTCAGCTGGTGAAAACCTTGCAGTAAACAGATGGGAAAACTGAGGTCGGGTGATGGGCAGGCCGCCTTGGCCTTGAGTCCTCCCCTTGCTGAGCGCACTGCTCGCAGATGGTGTGAGAACTTAAGTGAGAAACAGGGATTGTCAGGTGGAAAATTCCCTGTGCCTGGCTCGACAGAAAATAAAACAAACACGTAAAAAATTGGTCAGCAAGTTGTTCTTGCCTGTACAGTGCCTGGTGACTCAGAATCCGTCAAGAGCAGCAAGACGTTTTCATCTGAAGTGTGGACTTGGAGTTTTCCTCAGTTTCTAAGGATGCACGAAATATCTACAGCTTGCTTTTGAGGGGCAATTAAGGAGACTTGAGAGAGTGAAGTCTCTGTTCTGCCTTTTCAATCTTCAGGTAGAATTCCGAAGTGGTGTTTTGTTTCTGTTTGTCCCCATACCTTTTATGGCACCTCTCAAGAGGAGCAGTGGCTTGAAGCCGCCTTGCCAGTGTGAGTGGCCAAAGTCCGGGGCGTGAGATGCTGTGGGATCAGCATGCCTGTTGAAAGCAGCTCCCAGACAGAGAAGTGTTTAAAAATGAGAATGTTGTGGCTTTTGATTGCACGTCTGGAAGGGCCTTCTGAGTCAAACACAACACCACACGCCTTCACCTTCTATGTTCTGTGAAAGGCAGTTCCGGAGAGAGCTGCAGTATCAGGAACTTGGAGTCTGCCCCCTGCGTGGTCCGGGCATCCTCCCCTCTTCATTCCCCAGTGTGGTCTTGTGGCCTCTGCCTGACATGTCCATGAGACCAGGACTCAAAGTGGGTTGTTCCAGAGATTAGCAAGCCTAACAATGAGGCTCTCTTGCAAAAGGGCTAAGAGCCCTGCCTTAGGTTCCTATCCTGACTCATCCTTTACTGCTTTGTGACCTTGCATCGGCTATGTCACTTTTTTTTTTTTAAAGATTTTATTTTTTTTTCCTTTTTCTCCCCAAAGCCCCTCAGTACATAGTTGTATATTCTTCGTTGTGGGTCCTTCTAGTTGTAGCATGTGGGACGCTGCCTCAGCGTGGTTTGATGAGCAGTGCCATGTCCGTGCCCAGGATTCGAACCAACGAAACACTGGGCCGCCTGCAGCGGAGCGCACAGACTTAACCGCTCAGCCACGGGGCCAGCCCCTGGCTATGTCACTTTTTAAAACCTCAGCTTCCTCATCTGTAAAATGGGCTGCTGATAGTACCAACTTCACGGACTTGTTCTAAGCGCAGAATAATCTATAGAAAGCCTCAAAAGGGGAAATTAGCCAATGTCATTCCCTCTTTTAGCAAATGTTTTTCTCATCTCCCTTGGACTTTCATTTAGATTTAAGACCATCAGAGAGACATGATGCATTGGACAATTAGCCTTGTATCACTGAGAGAGAGGTAGGGGGAAATAATAGACTTTTCAGGTTAATTAGGGAATGTGAGGTTAATTAGGGAAATGGGCCCAGAGGAAGCCAAGACAATCAGCCAGATTCTGATAAGATCTGAACACATCTCTAAAGCCTTGAATTTGGGCTTTGTTTATTGCACAACTTCTGTTTTGATACAATATTGGGCAGGGCTGTGGAGAGGAGCTCCTCTGTCATAACATGGTGTGCATTTTCTTTGAGCCAAGCTCCCTGGACCTTCAGGCTGCACAAAGTATTGCCAAAACCCCAAAACCAAAAACAACATTTTGGCGAGAGGTATCATGTGATCACCTCATCGTCAAGGGCCAAGTTCAACTTTCCCTCTGCACCAGGTTTTCTCCTGTGAGCAGGATATGGTGGGGCATGAGTGGGAGGCAAGGTCTCTGGGAGGGAGGGGTCCGGCATGGGAGTGGAGGACTGGTGGGCAGAGTGTGCCCCCAGTTTGCCATGATGTCCCCAGGTACCAGAGCTCTAGACTAGGTCATGGGGCATCTTCACTGAGCAAGGGAAGTGATTTGACCAGAAATGGGTGTTTTAAGCACTGGCCCAAGGTTATTCACAGCCTGGTGCTGGAAAAACCACAGATCAGGGGCCCAATTTAGTAAGCTGGCCTGCCGTGCCAGGGGGTGTGTGGCTGCTGTATACACGGTGGCTGAGGTGCCATGTTGCGGCTGAGGCCCAAACCCAGTTTCAGGGAGTAAGGGACGTTGGCAAACGTTTGGTCCAAATGTCTCATCCTGGAGGTGGGGGAAGTAAGGCATGGAAGTGTTAAGTGACTTTCCTGAGGTTGCCCAGCTGGTAGGTGACTGAGCGGGGTCTAAGCAACCTGATTCTAGAGTTAGTATTTTTCTATCACTCATTTAATAAATCTTTACAAGAGCAAGACATGATCCTCACTCTTAAAGAGCTTCTCATCTAGTAGCAAAGATGAAATGTACTTACAAATATTGAGCTAATTCTGTTCAGTTGAACAAAGATTTATTGCCATCTGCCATATGCTTCTCACTATGTTATTCATGGGACATAGGCGTGAATAAACCCGAGGAGCTTATGTCTGCTGGAAGAGACAGTGTGAGCAGTGCCTAGGCCGTGGGTCCCTCTTCTCTGCAGGACTCTCTTATTTCAGATGATTTTCAAGTTGGAGCATAGCTCCTTGAAGCTTGGTCCATTAAATTGTGTTCGATCCTGGACAGGAACACCCCTCCCCGTATTGCCACTGCTGCTATTATTGCTACCAGCTGATATTGTTAAGAGCTTGGGGTGTGTCGCACCCTGCTAAGTGCTCTACAGACATTTTCTCTCACTTAATCCTCACAACAACCCCAGGAGGTGTGCACACTAGTTAGGTCCATTTAACAGAAGGGGTAAAAG